CCAGTTCCAGCAGGGCGGCTTCTCCTTCAATTTCTAGGGTGCCTAGACATGTACATAGCGAAAAAGTTTCATGCGTGGTGAGCCGATTTCAGAGTCCAGGCGGAGGGCTGTTGGGACTATTTGGAATCGCGGGATTCAAGGATGGGAGTTAATATGACATGGTAGTATATCTTGCCGCTGGCGTTTTGGTTGCGTTTTCATTCATTCCAAATCAAGTAGGAGAATCAACATGTAACTTCTCGTTTTCTACATATCGCCCCAGATTCCCATTTTGCCCAATATCAACGCCAGATAAGGAGACAACTTGAAGTTCTTCACCTAGAGAAGAGACTTGGCGCCTACATTCAAAATCCACACATGACATCATGAGGCGAGCCTTGCTCAAGGCATTGAATGAATGTTTGCACGTGGAGGATTACTCTCGTGTTGTATATCTTACTCCACGCTCATGACCAACTCTCTCTACATGTTTCGCCGATCCGCCCCCCCTCGAGCCGTCCGCCGCCGACCCCGCATGCCAGCCAAAAACAAGATATATTCCGTAGTCCCAGGAAGAAATTCCAAGATAGGGAGAAAAAAACATGGTAAGAAAAGAAACACGAGAAATCGAACACCTCCTTTTTCTCCCTGGGATCAATTCAAAAATTTCAATGATGTCTATATGTACAATGTATGTCGGTTCTGATGTAATAGGCTCGCCCTGTTGCCAGTCACCATTTGCGCGCCTGTAGATTTTTGTGAGGAAGCGGGAGGGAGGATCAAAGAAGGCAGCGTTTCCAAAGTTTTTGAGGTGTTTCGTTATCAGAAAATGGCCCTATTTCCCGTATGTGTCGAGGAGGTGTGTTTGACCAGGAAAAAGATGGGAGGTCGTAAGCTGGTGAGATTCGTGACTTTGCGGGTGGTGTAGGCTGCGGTTGTATTATTTTCTCCGAAATGACGGGTTCGATTCTGCAGGGCAGAGATCTACCGTCGTACTTGGCCAAGGCATGATTTAGATCACAGCCTGTTTGGCCCGCTATGACCTATTGCTCTTCACAAGAAGCCAAGCTCACAGCTTGTCATTCATCTTAATGAAGTAGGCCCTAATGATTACAGTGGTCAGCACCCAAAACCGTTTAGCCTATATGATAGGAGCGGGGTACATGTGACATACTTGCAGAACTCATACGCTGACCAGCAGATAGCAGTACTAGGCATGGTTGTAACCACACGAGGTCGGACACCTTTGAAGAAGCCACGAAGGCCCTCACGCTGGTAAAGAAGCTGACAACCGCCAACGAAGCTGTTGACCGCGCGAACTTGGGGGTCCGTCGATGTGCCGCGAGTTTGTAGCATCGTCTTGATCACGTCCATAGGGGTTGTGAGACCTGCTGCAAAACCACCAGCAACACCACCAGCCAAGCAGTGAGTCGTCGGATCGTAGTCTTTCTGGGGGTTCATCATCGTCGAGATCGATTCGTAGGCGAGAAATTGAAGAGCAGTAAATGGAACGGTCATGGAGAGGGTCGTCGGGTATGAAATGTAGAAGGCCCCAATGCCCTCATTCTTGTAGACGTAACGAGCACAGTCGACCATCGATCTGTACATCCGCTTCGAGTTTTGAATCTGCATGCGTTGCTTAATGACTAGAAAGAGAGAAATGCGTTAGTTCACATTGCGAAAACGACCGAGGTTGTAGTAGCGAGCAATTACCATCGAAGGGGTTCATAAAAGCGTCGCTGGCGATTGTGGCAGCAGCACCACTGGAGGCTGTTCACGTTAGCAAGACCGAATGATCACAAGTAGGATACATTTTGGCTCACCAGCTGCGAGAGGATGATGTACTCCAACCTGGTTGCCACCCATCGCATGCTTGACAGCCTCGTAGGTCGCGAAGTACACAGCATGAGCAGGTCCTAAAAATACCGACATCGCCAAATCAGTCTCCCAATCTCAAGCTTAATGACCATACAAGAGGCCGGGGGTATCGGAAGATGCTCACCAGCTCCCACAATAACGCTAGACATTCCACGCCACAGGTTAAGGACGCCCTCCTTGGAAGCAATCTGGTAAGTGCTGCGTATGACACTGGAAGTGGTGGGGGCCGCGCTTGATCCGATGATTTGCATTCGAGTCTATGAAGCGGGTTGAAGTCAGCACCGACGGTCTTATAGGACGAAAGCTGCCAATTGGGTGAGGCATTCAACTGGGGGGGTATGTCGGCTTCAAAATACCTTTATCGCATCGATGGGATACATAGCTGTGTGTTCCTAAGGAAAGACATTGGTGAGCTTATGAGGCGTTGCAAGTTATCATGTTCCAAGCTGGTACGTACAGCAATGCCGGCGAACGCTCCTGCTGCCATGTTCTGCAGCAGGGAGAAATTGGGAGGGAGGGATTCATAACTGCATGGCGAAAATCCAGTCGTTAGCACACAGTCTATAGAATGCAGTGAACCCGAGGGTGTGAAAAGGTCCCAAGAATGTTGGAGGGTCCATGAGACCAAGCGGGCATCATCTGGGGCTGCGGAGCGGGCAGAGGCTATATCTCACTCGTATTCCTCAGCTGTGTCGGACACAGACTGCTGGGCCATGTCGGCCACAGCTTGAGAAGCTCCGCCGAGAGGCTTTGGATCGAAAGCCGCCAGTTTGACTGACTGGCAGACAGCAGTGTCGCGCTGTCCGGCTTGGTTCGGTGCGAATTGTCCGCGGAGGGTGTTGGGTGGCGTCGGCGCAATGGTTTGCGGCGTGCGTATGGATGATCCGGAGCTGCCCAGGACGGTTGTCGAAGAGTGGCAGCGGTAAACCAAGTTCCCAGAGACTGGCGATTATCGTCGGGCGCCGATCTGAGGAAATTGCCTGCTGGTCGTTCACGGCGGTGGATGGATTGCGGTGGCAGATTCGTTCGGCCGCCTTGGAGGTTGCTGGCTTTTTTTTAGGCGGTTCCCACCCCCCTTGTCCTATTCAGGTGCGCTGGTGCTGGCGGTACTGCACTACGGTACAGCTCTCGTAATCCGAGCTCGGTCTCAACCCCGGCGATGAGCACGGAGAATACGGTTGCAGAGGATTCGAATTCAGAAATCGCAGATGGCGAGGCTGCCACTTTAGACCGTTCACTAAGATACCTGTGGTGTGGAAAAATAGAGGAAAAACTAACACTGCAACGGGGGCCGAGGAACGGAGGAGGAGAGAGGTTGGGCAGTCCCACGCTTGTGAGATACCTGATAGCGACCAGAACAACTCCGCGGCGGGCGAGAGAAAACGGCAAGTACCTGCCCAGTACGGACAGCCCACGCCCCAATTGCTCGCTTGCTGGTGGGCAGCCAAGCAGGTGACATAAAACCCCAGACACCAGACCCTCGCACTGAGGCTCGGGTATTTCAGCTAGGGGCTTGGCCCTCCTCGGCTGACAATAATAAGCTCAATACTAGGCACAAAACTACCTAGGATATCGTTATCTGCGCTCGGGGCTGGAAAACAGCTCCTATCGTGCGCTGAGACTGCGGCGGCAGCTGGTGTCAATAGCCGTTGTGCGCCCTTCTTTTCTGTCACCCCGCAGTAGAGTCGCTCGGTCCTTCCTGCCTCACCCGTACTCTCATGTACCGAGCTCCAAACGAGACTAGCACGATCTGATAAGATTGGAATCCCGGGGCAGCCATCGGAAATTCCCTCTCCCCTCCCATGAATCATTCATCTGCCTGCCTCCATTTTCCAGCTCAGCGCCATTACGAGCCTCCCCGATCCTTGCAGTGAGGCTCCATACGCTGCGGGCAAAACAAGCAAATAAACGGCCGGCCCTCAACTAATTCTGCGACCTTTGCTTTTTCTGGGCCCTCCCGAAGCCCCAATTGCGTCCAGCCGTCTTTTCTTGCATCCCTAGACCAATTAGGCCAGGTCGCCTATTTATCAAAGCGTGGAAAATTCGACTCATGCATGCAGGGAACTTACTCTAGGATGATCACTTTACGTAAACGGCGAGCCAAAGCTCCAGTGCGCCGGGAGGATTCTCTTTGCTATCTGAGCAGATTACTGCGACATCCTTCTCAGGCGAAGATCGCTGCTTGGGTTGCGTTGCTTTCTTGTGCCCTAACCGATCTCCGGTCACGGCAGTTCCAACGAGTCGGTCGCCGAGCTCTGCTTAATGGCCTGCAGTCGGTACTATTCCAGACAGGCACCCTGGTGTCCTACCAAAATGTTATTCCAAATTACGACACTAGATCGCCACCAGTCCCGGACCTCCGTCTTCATCTCCAGAAACCACTAGCAAGTATACATGTACTTGACTGAACACAACACCATACATTTTGTGAACTAGACTGTTCAACGATCAATCACGGGTTCATGCATAGTAGTAGGCACGTTATTACCCATATTTCACACAAACCTCACTTTTAAGACGAACGTCCCATCTTCACGCACCTCTCGGCTCGATGTTAACGGTACCACCGACTCGGCCGAGCCATGCTGGTGCTGTCCGGCGTCGTAGCCCTTGTGATCCCGCCCGAAATGGTCCATCGTTTACTTACCCCCGGCAATTTTTGGAACAATAGCCATTGACGTTTGTTTATGGACCTTAATATGGTTCTGATATGACTTCATTTTATCCAATGGTAGATTTCCGGACATCAGGTGAGGGAAAAGCAAGCTACTTGTTTTTAAGCGAAAGATGACACAACACACTCGATGGTTCCCAAAGTGATGAGTAAAAAGACATATCAAGGCAGCATGATTTCGTTGAACCTTCTTCACACACCGTGGGCCGGGTCAAAGAGGTAATATGTAAATTCCGGGAAAAGTGGCTCATGACGAAACAAGGGTCAACATCACTCGCATATCACACCGACGTCCTGATGCAAAGAATATTGAGTGGAGTCGGAAATGCGAGGTCATTTCCAGAACCAAGATACTTATTGTTTAAAAAATTGATAATAAACAGAATAAAATAGAAATATAAGGACAGTCCTCCATTCTCGATGTGATACTGTAGATAGGCTCAAATGTCGTGATGGTTCAGTAGCTACTTCAACGAGCCTTTCCGCCGAGGGATAATTCCAAGCTCGCCGTTCCATGGAGTTGCTTATAAGTGGTGGAACGAGATTGTTCTCTGTTTCTTGAGGAAAATACCGCTGATACCATGCAGTCTCTTGTTGGCATTGGCACAAACTCTCCGTTGACGATGAGCCCAGGAGGAGGCTTGCTGCCCTTGAGATGAAGATATATCCCCCGCTCTTTTGCCGCCTTGATAGTCTTAGGGAAGTCAAACATGGTCTGCTGAATACCAGACACGAGATCCTGGATTTCCTTTAAGAAAATGGCCTTCAGTCTCTGGTATCGCTTCGACCTAACCATCGCCTCAACCATATCATCTAGATAGTCCAGCTTATTGTGACTAAGTTGATCGGTTGTGAAAGCATCTTCCCAAAAGTCTACTCCATCGAAGTCTACAACCTCCATTTGCGCCGGGAGATTATGTGTAAGAAACTCGCCAAATTCCTTCATGGCCTTGGATCGGGCATCCAGTGGTAGACCCTCCACATAGAGCAAGTCCAGACTAACCACCCGAAGACCGTCAAACATGATGGCATGGGATGGATCCATCCAGTTCGGAACTGTCGACCCGGAGCTGGGATCCGCATTGTACCAGCAAAGCCGCTGGAGAGAGAGGCGTTGGTACTTGAGCAGTTCCTCTGTCAACTGATGGCGCTCATCCCCGAGCCCCGCCTCAGGGCAGAGTCGGATAGCGAGATTTTCAAGGCCGCGGGGGGTTTTCGCTATGAATTCGATTAATTCGTCGCTGAGGCTGTCCATCATGTCGAGAATAATGGTCCGGACTGGTGATGACCTGCTGAATGGAGGCCGACGGCTGAACAGAAAAGAGGATGCGATACCGTCATCAACTCCGGATTCCCCATCCAAGTGAGCGAAGTACAGCTCAGACAAGTTCGGAAGGCATAGAAGAGCACTGAGCTCTCTGGCGCTCCTCTTGGAGGGTTCGGGATATCCGTCTGCGGCTTGCCCAACGCATATGCCAAAGGACACTTTCTCAAGGCTTTTGAATCCGGGCAGTAGGGTCTCACTCATACACCAGTGGATCATACGACAAAGGTATGTGAAGCTTGTGTGGTCTGCTCCGCCGGCGCGTGCATAACGTAGAGCCCGAATACGCGGTAGGAGGGCCAGCAGGCAGGGTTTGAGGCAGCTGTCCGCGCCCGTTTCGAGTTGCCTCCGTACCTGGGCCTGGAAGCCCTCTTGGTCAAGGGGATAGCCCATCGCATTGAATAACTCATGACAGAAGGAGCCGATGTCATCACGAGGAAATAACCAGGGCTCGCTACCTTCGGGTATCCGGACCTCACCAGTTTCAACGTCCACTTCCCAGGGCTCCCCGTTTTCTCTATCGCCCCAGACTTCGAACTCCCTGACATGCCAGGCGTCAATAGAAGCTGCGCCGTTGCTAATACAGCTCGACAGAAGGTGGCGGATAGTTCTTAGGTCAAGGTCAGAGCTGATTCTGAACTTTTGATACGCTTCACGATGACGGCTGAGGATGTATTGAGAATGGCGATATACATGCTTGCACGTCTGGGCAAGAGGCCAATGTCCCGAAGCATGTGTGTGCTCAAGAATGAGCTGCAGGATCTCCACGGGAAGGGAGGTGAGGTCTGGAGTAGAGTTCATGTCGTATGTGCTGCTCTGTGAGACGAATCTAGGGAAAAGAAAACGGATGGGCAGGTTACCTATTAGTAGATAGTTATTAGCTACCATCTTGCCCCTTAAATAGTACCTCATAACTAGATTTACAGGGGGGGCTTGCACTGGTAAAAAGAACCGAATGGGGAAATATTCCGTACAGTTCAACCAGTTTTGGCCAGCCATTGAAACCAGTTTATGAAATGCCATGTAAATACCGACTGTAGTCATGTACTAACCAGTAAAAATAAGCAAATTAACTATCACTTGTTCTTATTATCACTGGATTTACTGAGAGAATCTGCACTGGTGAGAAGAGTTTACTCTTTAAGCAATTGAACCTCATGTGCCAACATAAGTTCCTAAATCTCGGCCAGCTAACTATATACGTAGTTTTAATGGCATGCAAGTACTGACTGCAACCATTCACTGCCTAATTATCATGCCATCCCTCGGTTTTCATGAGGCAAATTGTCAGGATCTCGCGTAAAATGCCATAACTCTTCTTTTGACATGGGTTCGGGCAAGGGATGCTCGTCTGGCAATTTTAGGCTCTTCATCCTGCGCCAGTTCCACTTTACTTTCTAGTTTGGCAATTGAAGTCTGCTTTATAGTTTTAGAGCTCGCTCAAGCCTATAAGACGTTTGCCAACGACAAGAAGCCAACATCGGTAGGAATTGAATCTTTTACGCCTTTTTGACGGACAGTTAATTCTCTCTTGATTTTCGCCTAGCCCATCTATCCTTGTCGATTTGGGCTTTCTAGGTTGCTCTCGACTAGGGGCAATTGCATAGTTCCTCGACAGGCCCAAGTAGTTCGCATGGGTTCTTCGCCGCCGTCGACAGCCCAGATCGCATAGGTATCTGCCACATCACTTTCGAGTAGTCATTCGTAATCCAACCTATACTGGTGCCAGATGTATGTCTACGTTTATTCAAGCCACCCGAGTCAAGTCAAACACTCTTCAGGGGGGGTGGAAGCTGGCCTTTCCCTCTTTTTCCTTCTCACAGACTGGGATTTTGGATGATCCATTGTCGCCAGTTGGACTGTGCAGGTGTTTCCCCCAGTCCCTCCCGATGACTGATTATTATTCATCTTTTCTTCACTCAAATCTCTCAATCGCCTGCCTAGTCAATTGGGGTTTTCCCTTAGTGAGATTGTTTCCCTCCATAGGCTGGAAGTCTGGATTGCCCGGTATCATCCATAAGGCTATGCAAGTCCCGCCTCTTGTCATCTCTCGAAGTGTTACTGTCGTTGTCCTTCACTTTGCCGAAACTCTCTCCGACTTGCTTGTTTGGTTGAACATTCCGGTCCTGCTGTCTTAATTCATATGGCAGTGATCTGATTTTTAGACCTCAACGGAGTTACAACGCCTTGTCACGCATAACACGATCGCTCGCGGAGCGTTCACCTACCCACATCCTAAAAATGAATGGGCTGAATGTGCGTGGCAAACCATGACATCCAAATCACCGATAGCCAACTCTTGTCGGTCACTTTCTTGTAAATAAGCAGCTCGTCATGTCTATACGTAAGATTCTTTGCTGGCCCATAAGCCCTTGGTATCGAATTCCGCAGTTCATCTAATCCCAGAGACCCAGCTAATCGTTGACAGTGTAAGTGTAACTCTATCAAACAAAAACCATCCTTAGACGCCCTTATAAAAACCCAGCAGCAGGGCCCAATCCATAATAAGAGCAAGAGCCTCTGTACGCTGGCTGTCAAATGCAAACATGGCCGTTAAACTACGCCTGGTCCCCCTCGCCGATAGCGTTGTGTCTGCCTCAGTTGGTAAATCATACCCAATACTCCGGCCTCTGGCTCTTTCGTGTCTGTAGCGCTATTATCTCGGCTCAGACCCTTTCCGGGCGAGGTCTGCCAAGCTGATTCTTCGAGCATATCGCCGCCTTCATACATTTCCTCCTCCTGATCCAGCTGTTCCCCACCTTCCTCCATAATCTGACTTTCGCCGTAGGCTGGGCCTCGGGGATAACGGGACCGGTGGAGACCTCTTGTCGCGTTACTTACACCAGCCGGTTGATGATGGGGATCCAGAAGCATCGATGCCATGGGTGATGGGGCAGGGGGAGGCAGTCGTGTGCCGGCTCTAACTCCGCGGCTCCTCGCTCTCCCAGTCTCGGGTCTTCCAGCGAAGGAGCCGTGCATGTCGGCCGTAAATGTCGGTGAATTGAGCGCCGGGAAGACCGGTGGAGGGTGGAAGGGATGCCGAGTCCCGGGCGGCAAATGTCCCGGTATTCCCGTCTTGGGGTTGATGACATAGTTATCAATGAACCCATAGTACGATGCTGCCATCTTCCCGTGTTTAGTTGAATAGTAGTCCTCACGGACATCGTGACTCGGCATGGCTTGGCCATCTCCCATTCCTTTCTTAAAATCGAAAACAGCGAACGAGCAAACGTATCCGAGCCCATCAACATGAATGGTAAACTCCCGGAAGAAGTCGATAATCTGGTCGCTGCAGTGGGGGAGTGAAAAAAGGAGCAGTAATGAGGTTGTAACGATACCCAGGATTTCCTCCAGGAAAATCACGACCTTCATTTTGTACAATTCTTCAAACTCTTGCTTCACTTCAAAGCTGTGGAGCCTTCCTTGCCAGTGGTCAGGCATGTAGTGCGTGTATTCGGAAACGTTGCGCAAGGCGTATTCAGGGTTAAAAACGTCCGACTCTTCGGACACCATTCCTCTAGTAACAGCCCAGATAGCTCCGAAAATACCGATGTAAAAGATTACCGTCCTGTCTTTCGTAATTTCAAATCCCAGGAAAAGTTCAGAATCGAAAATTGTAAGCATGGCCAGCACCGCTGTGAGCGCCCCGGTCATAAAGGCAATGGTCCTGGCAATGTCTTCAGTCATACGCTTCGGAAACTGGTCAATGTATCGGGTCGCAAAGGGAATCGACATGTGAATTCTTTCATAAAAGATATGGCGTAATTCATTGAATTCGCGAAATTTCCACTCTGCTAGCCTCGTGTACTTGCGGGCCGCAGCTAGCTTGGGATCTTTCTGGTATTCCTGTTGCCTCAGTGTTAAACTCAGCTACAAAATAACATGCATTTTGATAAGATAGGGTGTTTCACTCACGTTGTAGTATGTGAAAAAGTACACAATGATGACATATGCCAGGACAACCGGGGCAAACAATAGGTTCAAGCAGCCTGCAAAATAGAAGCGTTGCTTCAACTTCTGGCTCAAAATCCGCCGGCGATCCGCTCGCAGGAAATCTTGCCGAACTTGCCCAAGCTCATTGAATGCCATATCCAATATGCAAAAGTGCAAGTTCCATTCCATGGTCTTTGAGAACAGCTGTCGGCCCCTTAAGAACGGGAATGGCAGGGACAGGTTCAGAACATCTTTGTTAATCATCGCGATAAGGTAGTTGTCCTTACGCATAAGCCTGTTGGCAATGTCATGAGCATCTAGCCGCTCCTTCGACTGACTTCCGATGAACCGGCGTAGGTTTCGCGGAATATTAGTGGCAGTCTTCGGGTTCTGGTCACGCAGCGCCATGATCCGAGCAACTATGTCTTGCCACGAGACGGTTTGCATATCCTGCTCGGGAATCTCGAGAAGGTGCAGGTAAAACTCGCGAACATGACTGAGCCTCCTTAGCTCGAGGAAATACTGGACAGATTTCCACAGAAAGAAGAAGGAATAGAGCCAAATGCCAACACTCCATAATCCGGACATTTTTCTCGTACACTGGCCGATAACAACCTGGTTAAGAGATGTGCTATGCGGGAGCTTGCTGTAATCCACACATTGGGTGAGGAAAGTAAGCAAAACCGCCACGAATAGAGTCTCACTACACCCGTTAGCAAAATATGTTCATCACCACATTATTTTATAGGGGATTCTTACATGAGCCACAAGGCATTTGAACAAAGAATACACCATAGGCCACCGCCCTCAAAGTAATCATATACATCGCGCATGAAGCTATCGAGGTTGGAGGTGTTCACCCACCGCCAGAGCGCCTTCTCTTTGGGCCCACCAGGTATCCGGCCAGCCATCAGCGATATCGGCTGCGACCTCTTTGGAATCGGCTCGTGTAGTTGTTGCTGGGCTCTTGCTGTATCCCATCGGGCTTCCGCCCGCGCCGAAGATGGGCCTGGAATGGCGTGCGTTTGCCCATGGGATGGCCGAGAGCCTGCGGGTCGAATCAACGGCGATATCGGGTGTTCTCCATCATTTGGCTCAACTAACAAGGACGCCGGAACGTCGTTGTCTATTTCATCTTCTGGCGACTTCCAGCGAGATAAGGACCCGCGCCTGCCACGGGAACTTGTGCGACCCTGTGGCTCGCCAACACCACCCATCGCAGTGCTTGCTACTGTGACGCGGCTGTCTGAGGGACCAAGCGCATTCGCGTCAAGATCGTTGAATTGGTGCCTTAGATTCTCCTCGTCGATATTATAGCCCGCCTGGTCTTCTAAGTCCTCTTCGTCATCTCGGGTGTGTAGTTCTTCGTAGAAAGATCGAGTGCCCGCGGAGGCGGCGTGCCGTCCGAAGATATTCGAAGTCATTATCCAAAACGACGCAGCTAGATTTTCTTGGTGAGAAAATCTATATGGTCATGTCGAACAAAACTTGGTCAAGGTCAAAGCCGTAGAGAGAGTGTTCGTTCAAAGGTTTCGAGGAAGGTCTTGCACTAAACCCCACTGGACCTCCTGGAGCGGTTGATAAAGCAGGGACGTAATCGAGAAGGTCAGGAATACCAGTGAAGATGACTAGTCGTCGTTGGCCCGTGAGGCGTCAGGTATTGTGATCAAGATAACATGACCTCAATGCCATGTGCCACCAGCGGGAGGAGTAAGGTGCGGGCCCACTGCTGATGCGCGGCTCGCGCTTGTCAATAGAGCTCCCCGAAGGTGACAGGTTGTATGCGTTGTAGTGAATGGGGATAAAAGTGAGGTCGCAAATATACAGCGACCCAAGTTGACGTCTAGTCACCTACTACCCAGAGAGTT